ATAATGGTCACAAGCTGGCTGCAACCCGGACATCAGAGCAGCAGGACTGACAGCGAGACAGACAGCTGGACCAGGGACCACAGAAGCAGGCAAGACTCACCTCGGGTGGGCCCCAGAGCCCGCTGCCACTTGGGGGCCTGGCTGTGTGTGCGTAGAGATGCTGGAAATGCTACCCTTGTGTAACACGCCCACCACTGACACACGTATGGAGGCTACCAGGCTGCACACCCAAGCTACACGCACTTCACCACCTTTGAGTTTCACCACAGTGAGAACAAGCAGACACCTAAATTAGGGAGTGGGGTTCCCTCCCCCTAAATAGGAGTCTTTGTATCATAACTCTAAATAGAAATTGTCCGGCAGAGCACTGCCAGTGAATTTCCAGGCTCTCTGAGGCTCCTAACCCTGCTCCTGTGGAGCCCAGGCCACCTCCAGCTCAGGTTCCTGGAGCTCTGGGGTTTCACCGGAGCCAGGGTTCGCAGGCTGAGGCCAAATGCAGGCAGCACAGCTAGGGTTACATTTTGTCACCAGCCTGTGCACAGGATTTGGGTCACAGGACTTGGGGATGAGCTGGGCAGGGGCAGGAGATAGACTGGAAAGGAGGCACAGAAAGAGGAGAAGGGCCGGTCCTCGAGCCTGGCCCGAAGCCCTGGCCAATGCCTGACTTCAGCGACCAGTGGACACACAGGAAGCCATTGGTCTCAAGCGGGACAGTCGCCAGTGGAGCTTTCTGCTGCCCAAGGGACCAATAACTAATTCTTACGATTCACGTTCACCCTGCTTCATTCCAGAGCAATTCACCAAAGGCCCAGCCAAGAAGTTCAGGGCCGGGAGCCAGAACACCTGGCCCAGGCCTGCACGGGGCACACGACGAACTTCCAGGCCTAAGAGTCTCCCTGCAATTGTGGCAAGGGACACAGTGACAGGGAACCTCTCCCTGGCCCCTCAAACCCTGGTGAGAAGGTGGCGTACAGAGGGCTGTTATCCAAGTCACACAGATAAGGAAAAGGGCTCAGGTGAGGGAGGATTTGCAGAGCAAACTCAAACACCAAGGCCTGGCAAACAGGCGGAATCCCAGGGCTCTGGGGGGAGGGCTGCAAGTTCAAGCCCAGCCCAGGCAATTAGAAACTTAATGAGGTCCTGTCTCAAAATAAAAAATAAAAAAGAGGCCTTGGGTTCAATCTCCAGTGTAGCAAAAACAAAAACCAAACCAAACCAAACCAAACCAAAACCACACACAACCCTCAAACACTATTACCAAAGGGTTTGGACCTGGGCATTTAGCTCAGCGGTTGCTCCATCACCTACACACAGGCCCTGAGTTCCATCCCCAGTAAACACACACACACACACAGGAGAGAGAGGGGGAGAGGGGGAGAGGGAGAGAGAGAGAGAGAGAGAGACAGAGAGAGACACAGAGAGAGAGAGAGACAGACAGACAGACAGACAGAGAGAGAGAGAGAAGGCCGGGCCGGGAAGCTGGGACTTTGACTCCAAAACCTTGTTTCCCAGTCAAAAAAAAAATAAATTCATGGAGGGAGAGGGGTAAAAGGAACTCAGCTGTGCCGTATACACTACCAACTCCCTACGATGAATGATCCGGCACAGCACACACCGACTAAGAAAGAAAGAAAATAAATTCATTCCCCTGCCTTCGAGCTTGTGCTGCGCCAAATGCCCTGGGCTATCCGGGTTTGTGGGGCCAGGAACGCGAACCACTTGGGAGGAGGAGGGATTCGCTACCAACATCAAAACACAACACAAAACCCGCCAGCTACGAACGGAGACGACTGGGGGCCTCGCTCTGGCCCTGGCGGCCGAAGCCCCAGCTCTCTTCGCGTCGCGGCCCAGCCCCGGCCTGCGGAGCCAGACGCGCCCGCTCAGCCTCCCGCCTGTTGTGCAACGTGGCCCAGTGGGCCGTGGAGGGCCGGGCTGGGATCTCCTTGCTCCCGCGAGGCCGGCGACACCCGCTGCGGCCGAGACAAGCTCCGTCCCCGAGCCCTGGCCGCTCCCCGGCAGAGAGAGGCGAGCAGAGCCGGGCGGGCGCTAGGCTCTGGCCTCGGCCTCGGGTCGGGTCTGGCCTGCTCCCCTGGGGCCCGGCTCCTTCGGGGCCCTGGGGTCCCCGCGCCGGGGGCAGCGCCCGGGGCGGCCGAGCCTTTTTGACAAGCGCTGCGTGGCGGGGATTGGCTGGCCCGGGCGTGACGCCGGGAACAACAAAGGTGGAGTTGGAAGAAATTAGATTAAAGGAGAAGAGGAAAAAAACCGAAAGGGGGAGCTGGCTGGGGACGGAGGCCGCGGCCGGGGAGGAGCGCGCGGGCGGCCTTGGGGCTCCGGACCCCGGGCTCCGCTGGCCCGGAAGGCGGCCAGGTCCGCCCCGCGACGGGACCCCGCGCCCGGCCCCGCCGAGCCCGGCGGAGGCCCCAAGGTGTCGCGAGCCCAGCGCGTCCGGGCTTCTTCCTTCCCACCCCCCTGCGCCCCCCGCCTTGGCTTCAGGGTTGCAAAAGCAAAGAGCAATAAAAAAAAAAAAAAAAACTGCGCGCACACAGACACACACCCGTGGCGACGGGAGCGGTGGGACGACGCAGGCAGCGGCCGGCGCGGGGCCGGGGCCGGGGCCGAGCGCGGGGCCCGGCTGATTGGAGCGGGCGCGGAGATGGAGGCGGGGGCCGCGGCGCGAGCTCTGCGGGGACTGCGCGGCGCACACGCCCGGCCGGCGCCGCAGCGCTTGGCCCGCTTTCAACCCGCGCCCGCCGGCTGGGCCCGCGCCCCCGCCCCCAGCCCCGCGCGGCGACCCCGCAGGTGAGTGCAGCCGGGGAGCGGGCCCGGCCGCCGCCCTGCGCGGGAGAGAAAGGCGAGAGCCAGGAGAAGAGCGCGCTCTGCTTTTTTTATTTCCGCGCAGCCCCCAGGGCGGTGGGAGGCAGGGCGAGGCCGGCGCGCCGAGGAGGCGGAGGGCAGGCGAGGCCGGGCCGGGAGGCGGCGGCGCCGACGGGGAGCGCTCGGAGCGGCGCCGCGCTGCGCCGGGCGGGCGGGCGGGCGGAGCGGGGCGGGCGGGGCGCGGCGCGTGGGGCTCGCCATTAGCCGTCGCTCGCTTCGCCATCGCGGGCTTTGTCTGGCCACTCGCTTCCCTGGCGGCGGCGACGGCGGCGTAGCTGCGGCTCGGGTCTCCGGCCCCCGCGCCCCTCGGAGTCCCCGGCCCGCGAGCCCAACCCCACGCTCGGTGAGTGGCCCGGGGGCGCGGGTTTGGGGAGCGGGGACGCTTCCAGCGGCGCGGCGCCGAGCTCCATGCGCCCGGCCAGGCCAGGAGCCATGCTGGGCTGGATTGAACTGGCTCCCGAGCGGCTGCGAGGCCGGAGCCGGCGCCTCTCGCCGTTTCCGGGGTGGAAGAACCAAGGGGGCTTTTTTGTTCGGGAGACCGGGGTGATTTTTTTTTTTTTTAAGTTTCGTGGGTGCCGGGAGGCAGTACCGAAGCCTGGCCGCCGTGCGTGCGCCCGAGCCGGGCCTCGCCGCGCTCCGGAGAGAGGGGAGGGCGCCGGCTGCCGCTCCGGAAGGCGGGCGCGGGCAGGGCCGACCGGGACGCCGAGCCGGCGCGGGAGACTCGGAAGCGAGCTCCGGAGCAGATCGCGGCGGCGCGGCCGGCACTCCACTTCCGCGGCCACCGGGGGGCCCTCGGGCGCCTCCCGCGCGAAGAACCCCCGGCTCCCCGGCGGGTCTGGCGAGGTCGCTCTCGCCGCCCGCGCGGCCCCGGCCTAGGCCGCCGCCATCCGGGCGGCTGCGTGTCGCCCTGCCCGGCCCGGCCCCCCCTCCACGGCCGCCGCTGCCGCCGCCAACCCCCTCCTTCCTTCCCTCCGCCTCGGCCCCGGGTCCCCCAGCGCCCGCCCCTCCTCCCAGCCGCCCCCCGCGGAGCCCGCCCGGGCAGGCTGTGGGAGGGAGCGGAGCCGGCGAGGCGGCGGCGGGCGGGCGGCTGCGCTCGCTCCCCGGGGGTCGGTGTGTGCTCCGCGGGGAAGGACGCGCTGCGGCCCGCTCCCGCCCCCCCGCTCCTCCTCCGCTCCTCCTCCTCCCCGCTCCGCGTCCGAGCGGCGGCGGCAGCGGGGGGTGCGCGGGCCGAGGCCGGGCCGGCGGCGGCGGGCGGGCTGCCTGCCTGCAGGCGGAGGGCGCTGTGCTTTGTGCTCGTCGCCGCGAGGAGCAGCAGGCGGCAGCCACACGGCCGCCGCCCCAGCGCCCGGAGGTGGGGCCCGGCCGCGGGAGGGAGCTGCGCGGGGGAGGCGGCGCGCAGAGCCGGAGCGCCGGGTGCGGAGCGGGGAGCCGGGTACCGAGGCGGCGGGAGCGAGGACGCGGCCCGCGGCGGCGGGGCGCCCCGGGGAAGACGCTGGGAAGGACGCGGGCCCGGAGCGGCGGCAGGAAGCGAGGCCGCCGGGCGAGGAGCTCGCGCTTCCCGGCCCAGCGTAGCTCGCCTCGGGGGCCGCGGAGCCTGGGTCCTCGCCGCCCGCCCTCTCCTTGGCGCAGCTCCCCGGGGCCGGGGCGGGGGCGCCGGCGGGGCTGGAACACGGCTCGGGCTGGAGCGAGGGCCCCCGCGGTCGCCTCTGCGCCGGTCCTCGGGCCTCGCCGGGTGGGTGGCGGGGGCGCTGGCCGCGGCTCCGCGCTCGCCCGCCGGGATCGGGAGGGGGGGAAGCGGCGCGGGTCCAGATCCGGTCCCCGGGGGCGGCACGGCCGCTGCGCTCCGGGGCTGGCGGCGGCTGCGCGGCGTCCGGGTCCCCGCCGGCTGCGGAGGCGGGGGGAACGGCGGGGGGAGCGGGAGGAGGAGACTGGGGCGCGCGCCCGCCCGTCGCCGTGGCCGCGCGCGCCCTTTACCCGCCCTTCCTCCTCCCGCCTTCGGCCGGGGCCTCCCCGGGGCGGGCGCTGAGAGCAGGAGGAGCAGAGTCGGGTTTTTTTCGGCCGGGTGGGGGAAGGAGGGCGGCGCTCGCGGCAAGCCGGGCTGGAGCGCGCGCTCGCGTGGGCAGCGCCAGGCGCGCGCTGTGGAGCCGGGCTGGGGGGGGCGCTCACTCGCACCCTGACCAAGAAGTCTGAGGGTCCCGCTGGATCTGGCTGCCCTGGATCTGGCTGCGCCCGGGCCCCGCGCCCCCTCCCCTGGGGGAGGGGGGGGGAGAAAGTTCCTGGTCTCTGCGCCCACCTCAGTGGAGCCCGCGTTTTCTCTAAAGGTGGCTTTGACCCCGGGTTGCCCGGCCCGCGTGACCGAGGAGGTGGCTGGACAGCTGGAGGATGAACGGAGAAGCCGACTGCCCCACAGACCTGGAAATGGCCGCCCCCAAAGGCCAAGGTAGGGCCCCTCTGCCTGCTCCTGGGGCCAGTGTTAGTGAGCAGGGAGCATCCCGCACCCTGGGGCTTGGCCCATCCACACCAGCCCGAGCCTGTCCACTCCTTCTCTGGGGATAGGAGCAAGCCTACCTTCCGGGGCCCAGGGCCCCCAAAGTGGGTCCCTAGGAGTGTTTGGGACAGGCTTTGGGCCTGTCTGTGGTCGTCAGAGCTAAGGGCTTAGCCCTGCAGGTGCAGAGAGGGTGTCTGGAGTTGGCCCCGGCTTTGGGGTGGTGTGGTGTGCTTGGCCGACCCCCTCATCTCTCGGGGCCCTGAGAAAAGCCAGCCTGTGGCCGTGCTTGTGGGACAGCCAGGGGAGACTAGGGGGTCCACATGGCTGTGAGGAAGCTCTGCCCCAGTGGCCAGATGCCGAGAAAGTCAAGAGCAGCCGTCTGACTCCTGGCCCTCGTGGCTGGCTCCGCATCCCTACTCACTCCACCCACTGCTCCAGAGAGGCCGCAGTGCTCTGTGCTACATCTCAGAGGCTGGAGAGGGCTGGTCCATCGTCCCTTTTGGGCACTCCAAGTCCTCCCTGGAACCAGCCTGCCCACACGCCTGGCCAGAAAGCTGCCGTCCCTTGAATTCTCCCACTTCTGTCCTATTTCTTGTCTGCTGGGAGCTCTCTGGCCTGCCCCAGGGAGACACCTGTGAGGAGTTTTCTGCTGCTCATGCCCAGCCTCGGCCGGGGGTGTCAGTCCTGTCCTGAGGACTTGAACCTGAACTTGGCCATAGGCTGGCTGTCTTCTCTTTCTGGCTGCTTCCCCTCAGGGCCCCGAATTACCAGCTTCCCCACCTCCTGGCTGGGTCAGTGGGCCCCATGCAGCCTGGCATATTTTTTTTGTTTTGCTTTGGTTTTTTTGCTACCGGGGATCGAACTCGGGTCCTTGTGCTTGCGCAGCAGACAGCGAAACCACTGAGCTAAATCCCCGGCCCCAGCCTGGCATGTTTTGAAGGGAGCGACCTGAGCCTAGATTAGAGTCCCTGCCACCACCCTGTGTGGCCACTGTTTTCTCAGGCTGACTGTGCCTGGGCCTAGAAGGAGCCCTGGTTCAGATGAGAAGTGGCCCAGGAGAGGGCCCCGGGGGGTCCTCCCTGGGTTGGCGTGTGCCCAGTGTGACAGGCTCTTTGCTGGCCCCCAGACCGCTGGTCCCAGGAAGACATGCTGACCCTGCTGGAGTGCATGAAGAACAACCTTCCATCCAATGACAGCTCCAAGTTCAAAACCACTGAGTCCCACATGGACTGGGAAAAAGTCGCATTTAAAGACTTCTCCGGGGACATGTGCAAGCTCAAATGGGTGGAGATTTCAAACGAGGTAAGGGATCCCCCTTTCTGACCCACATGCAGGGCTGCACGTGGCAGGGGCAGCCTGTCGGTAAACAGGAAGGCGGGAGGCCAGGGAGGCGCTCACATGGCTGCCTGACCTTAGCCCTGTGGACAGCCCTGCCGCAGAACCTTCCGTTCTTCAGTCTGTCCCATGGCCTTGATCCTCACTGTCTTGGGGCTTCTGCTGCCTGAATTGTGGTGGGGTGGCAGAGGAGCTAGCTTGGTGGCACACGGGTCATGTGACAGCCGTGTAGCTGTCCAGGCCATCCACAGCCCCGAGGGGTGGGCCAGGTCGGGGACAGCTGGCATTGGCCTCAGCTGTCCTCTGGAACACAGCCCACCTGGCCTGCTGGAGTCGGGACGGTGGGAAGGGGGCTGCCCCGTGGGCGCTCTTCCCAGCGTCCCCTTCCTCCTCCAGGTGAGGAAGTTCCGAACATTGACAGAATTGATCCTCGATGCTCAGGAACACGTTAAAAACCCTTACAAAGGCAAAAAGCTCAAGGTGAGTCACGGGGGGTGGGGTGCAGTGCAGATGGGCCACAGAAGGGGTGGCACCTGACCTCCCTGTTCCCCTTCCAGAAACACCCTGACTTCCCAAAGAAGCCCCTCACGCCCTACTTCCGCTTCTTCATGGAGAAGAGGGCCAAGTATGCGAAGCTCCACCCAGAGATGAGCAACCTGGACCTGACCAAGATTCTGTCCAAGAAATACAAGGAGCTTCCGGAGAAGAAGAAGGTGGGGGAGGGGCGGGGAAGGGACAGAGGAGCAGCCGGCGCGGATGGGGGTGGACGGGGGGGCGGGCAGCACCACCGGGCTTGCAGGCTCGGCCAGACATGGCCCGGCCACTGGCTCTTCCCCACACATACCCTCCACGTGCTGCGCCACACTTCCTGTTCTCTCCACACCTGCCTTCCTGGTCTTGTTTGACGCTTGTAAGATCATCACACAGGTGGCCCCAGGAAAAGGCAAGGAACTGGGGTACAGGAGGGCTGGGCTCAGGTCACACAGCTAGCGATGGTAGAGCAGGACTTGGACCTGGTGCCCAGACCCTCTGCCCGTGCTCTGCTCACTGCCTCATCTTGGCCCATCTGGACACTGTCCCAGCCCACCAGAGGCTGCTGACTTGGGGCAGAGATCAGGAGGCCCCTTGCAGAGACTTGGCAGCAAAACCTGGCGAGCCCTCCGGGAGGGGACTGCGAGGGGCACAGAGAGGAGGCTGGGTGCTGAGGTGCAGCCAGGAGGGGCAGTTGGTGATGCCCGGGGAGAGACGAAAGGCACACTGCTGGGCAGAAGACATAGCTGCACATGGCCAGTGCTCAGACGGGTGCCAGCCACCACCCTGAGTGCCTTTTCCTGGTCACATACTGTGGCTGCAGACTCAGGTGCTCGGTGCTGAACCCCAAATGAATCCTGCTTGGTTGGGTAAAACCAGCTGACCACAGCCACTGCCCGGGCCCAGCAGGAGTGTGAATTGCTGGAGCTGCATGCACACATGCATAGTGACTGCACATGGCGCTGCCCACTCATGGAATAGGATGGCCGAGGGGCTGTCTTGACCCCATCACCAGTCACTGTGGGTCCCTCGGTGGGTCACTCAGCCTGCTCTGCTGGCAGGGTAAGCCAGGTCTGCTGTGTCACCTGGCTGTGAAACTGCTCTTGGATCTGAGGCGGCCAGACCAGGCCCCTCCAGGGCTATGCTCGTGACCCTGGAAGAAAGGAGAGGAGATAGAGGAGGAAGAGGAGGGAGGAGCGGCGGGATGATGACTGGGAAGGCATGCACAGCATTGCAGAGACCCAAAGATAGTGGACAGGGAGACCACAGATGCAGGAAACGAGTCTGTTGGTGTGGACTGCACTGCACAGAAACCCTCTGGGTTCTCAGCAGCACCCCTGGTGCATCTGAAGTGGGAGCAGCTGCCCCAGGCCTGCAGCCACCAGGAGGGGACAGACCAGTATCAGCTGCAGTGGATGGCGGGGAGCAGGGCTGACTCGGGAGTTCTGGGTGCCCCTTCTGCAGCGCCCTCTTAAAGGGACACTAGGCCCAAGGAGTGGTGTCTGGGGGACTGCCTAGCTCCACAGTCTGGTTCTCAGCGGCTAGGTCCAGTGTGTGGGGGCTCTAGTTCTGGGTGAGATGTGCCTGGGTCCTGGGTGACCCCGTCCCCTCCTCCCCCAGATGAAGTATATTCAGGACTTCCAGAGGGAAAAACAGGAGTTCGAGCGAAACCTGGCCCGGTTCAGGTAAGGCTTGGAGGTGGGCAGCAGCCACGGAGCATGGGGTGTGCAGGACAGGCCAGCACTGGCCCATTTGGAGCTGGCCATCTGGGAGACATGGACAGGCCACACACAGACCCACTCATGCTCGGGCAGGGACAGGCAGGTGGCCACTGTCCTATCAAGGCCTAGGAGGCTGAGGAGGGGTGGCTCGCTGGGGCCTGCTGGACAGAGTCTCCAGTGACCCTCGCTCCCATGCACTGGCCAGGGAGGATCACCCCGACCTTATCCAGAATGCAAAGAAGTCGGACATCCCTGAGAAGCCCAAAACCCCCCAGCAGCTGTGGTATACTCACGAGAAGAAGGTGTACCTCAAAGTGCGGCCAGATGTGAGTGTCTGGCTAGTGGGCAGGGCGGACGGGGCACGGTGGGGGGGGGAGCCGCGCCGGGTCGCAGGGCTGGGTCAGGGGAGCAGCAGAGGAGGCCCCTCCCCAGGGGTGGGCTGCATGGACAGGGCCTGGGCCAGCGCGTGCGAGCGTGTGTGCGTGCGTGTGTGAGCCTCCTTGCATCCGGCGGACGCCGTCTCTCCGCCTTGCCCTCCTGGCCTGTGGGGGACACCGAGTGACCTCCCGTGGCCCGAGGGGGCGGGGCCTCGCGCCCCCACCCCCCTCCCCCTCTCCTGGCTGCCTGCGTGTGTCTGACGGCTTTTGGTTTGCAGGCCACTACGAAGGAGGTGAAGGACTCCCTGGGGAAGCAGTGGTCTCAGCTCTCGGACAAAAAGAGGCTGAAATGGATTCATAAGGCCCTGGAGCAGCGGAAGGAGTACGAGGTTAGGCTTCCGCTGCGCTCCTCCCCGCCCGGCTCTTCACGAGCCTCTGCCCAGACTCATCGCTCCCGGACCCTGTCGAGGGAGGGGCCTTGTGGCCCCTCGCCTCTGCCCTTACCATCCTTACCGTCCCGGCCACCCCCCAGATCTCAGGCTAGGGCAGGGCAGGGCACCGTGTGGCACGGGGCGTCGCGGCAGACACACGGCCACCCCCGGCTTTGCTCCGGCCCCTCCCCAGCGGCCCCCAGCCGGGCCCAGCTAACCCACTCCCATTGCGCTCCGCCGCCCGCTCTGCAGGAGATCATGCGGGACTACATCCAGAAGCACCCCGAGCTGAACATCAGCGAGGAGGGCATCACCAAGTCGACCCTCACCAAGGCCGAGCGCCAGCTCAAGGACAAGTTCGACGGGCGACCCACCAAGCCGCCTCCGTGAGCGCCGCCCCAGGCGGGCGGGTGGGCAGCGGCAGGCCTGCCCCGCCTCACGGTGCCCCTCCCTCCCACAGGAACAGCTACTCGCTGTACTGCGCTGAGCTGATGGCCAACATGAAGGATGTGCCCAGCACGGAGCGCATGGTGCTGTGCAGCCAGCAGTGGAAGCTGCTGTCCCAGAAGGAGAAGGACGCCTACCACAAGAAGTGCGACCAGGTGCGGCGGGGACCCTGTGGTGTGGGGCTGTGGGGCTGGCAGGGTGACTGCGGCCGTCGTCCCCACCTGACCCGAGCCCCTCGCTTCCTAGAAAAAGAAAGACTACGAGGTGGAACTGCTGCGCTTCCTGGAGGTGAGTGGAACCCGGCGGAGGCGGTGGGGAGGCCCTGCAGCCGCGCCCACTGCCCCGCGCGTCCCTGTCCTGTCGTGCAGAGCCTGCCGGAGGAGGAGCAGCAGCGGGTGCTGGGTGAGGAGAAGATGCTGAACATCAGCAAGAAGCAGGCGGGCAGCCCGGCCGCCAAGAAGCCGGCGCAGGAGGGTGGCAAGGTGCGAGGCGGGCACAGGGCTCGGCGGGCGGGGGCCCCACGTGACCCCGGGGGGCGCCGCGACCCACGCCCTCCGCCCGCAGGCTGGCGCCGAGAAGCCCAAGCGGCCTGTGTCGGCCATGTTCATCTTCTCCGAGGAGAAGCGGCGGCAGCTGCAGGAGGAGCGGCCCGAGCTGTCGGAGAGCGAGCTGACCCGCCTGCTGGCGCGCATGTGGAACGACCTGTCCGAGAAGAAGAAGGTCAGAGCCGCCCAAGCCTCCCTGGAAGGCGGGAGCCGCGCGGGCGGAGCCACCAGGGTGTCTGCGCGCCGGCCCCGCCCCGGCGTCCGGGCTCTAGCGCCCCCTGGAGGCGGCCTGTGCTCACCGCGGCTCTGTCCCGTCCGCCCTGCAGGCCAAGTACAAGGCCCGCGAGGCTGCCCTGAAGGCGCAGTCCGACCGGAAGCCGGGCGCCGAGCGCGAGGACCGCGGCAAGCTGCCCGAGTCGCCCAAGCGGGCCGAGGAGATTTGGCAGCAGAGCGTCATCGGCGACTACCTGGCACGCTTCAAGGTGGGGCGACAGGGCAGAGATGCAGCCCTCGGCGCCCCAGCACTCCAGGACCCTCCGTGACCCGCCCGTCTGCCCCCAGAACGACCGGGTGAAGGCCCTGAAGGCCATGGAGATGACCTGGAACAACATGGAGAAGAAGGAGAAGTTGATGTGGATTAAGAAGGCAGCCGAGGACCAGAAGCGCTATGAGGTGCGAGGCTGGGACCCCCTCGTATCGGGCTGATCCACCTCCCCGTAAGACGAGGTGCTGTCACAGTAAAACCCGGTGACAGCTGGGGTCAGGCTCGTTTCTGGGAGCACCCGGCACCGCGGTGTTTGACCGCTGTGAGCCAGCTGCCAGGCGTGCTCCGGTGGCTTTCTGGCCAGCTCAGGCAGGGGTGGCAGCACTGAGGGGCGGGGGTGACCTTTCTCTCCCTGCAGAGAGAGCTGAGTGAGATGCGGGCGCCCCCCGCCGCCGCCAACTCCTCCAAGAAGATGAAGTTCCAGGGAGAGCCCAAGAAGCCCCCGATGTGAGCAGCGCGGTGTCCGGGGGAGGGCGGGCCTCAGGCTGGGTCCTGACCCCTGCCCCTCCCCACCCCCAGGAACGGTTACCAGAAGTTCTCCCAGGAGCTGCTGTCCAACGGGGAGCTGAACCACCTGCCGCTGAAGGAGCGCATGGTGGAGATCGGCAGCCGCTGGCAGCGCATCTCACAGAGCCAGAAGGAGCACTACAAGAAGCTGGCCGAGGAGCAGCAGAAGCAGTACAAGGTGCACCTGGACCTGTGGGTCAAGGTGAGCGCGGGGCTGGGGCGGATACCCTGGCACGGTGGGCTGCTCCTGTGGGGGCACTGGGACCTGTAAAGGTGGGAGGCTGAGGCAGGAGGGCCCAGTGTTCAAGCCCAGCCTGGGCAACTTAGGACTTAGCAAGGTCCTAAGTACCTCAAAAGATAAATAAAAATAAAGAAACGAAAACGTGGTAGGTAGAGAAGCCCGAATCCAAACACACGTGTCCCCTTGCCTAGGGTCAGGCCCCCCCTGAGCCCCAGGGTTCCCTTTGCACCTGAGCAGCCAGGCCTGTGCAGTGGGGAGCCTCACCTGTGCAAGGAGGGAGACGTACGGGGCATCGGGGTGCCCCAACCCTGCCTCCTCTCCTCTGCAGAGCCTGTCTCCCCAGGACCGAGCAGCGTACAAGGAGTACATCTCCAACGTGAGCGGGGGC